GTTCTAATGGAATTAATCATTTTTAAGAGAGGGAACATATCTGCAATTGGTAGAATCTTTCATTCTGGAGGGACTACTTAAGGATGGTCACTGCATTAATGATCTTTGCCATGGCTCCACAAAGCATCTGCTTTTTATCCCTTGCCCTCCCAGCAGCCAAACAAGTTCATAAATCAGAATGTTGAATTAAAAGGCTGATAAACCAGTGTGATTGCAAAACTAAACCAAAAATCAATAACAGGACATAAAGTATAGGAAACACATAGCCCCAGCAATAAGCTTGGTTACTTCTCTCTGTTCCTTTGCAGCCTCTCAGTTTGCTTCCTGACTCTTTTTCCCATGCATGACTGACTAAATTAGTAGGAGGATAGAAAGTAATTGTAAGATAAGCAAATACATTTTATCATTCCAACTTAAACATATTTATTTAAATGGGGGGGGGGGGGAGAGAAGAAAGAATAAATATGCACAATGGGAAGGAAATCCCTACATTTATTTCAGGAATGCTCTAAATCTATTACTTTCGGTGATAATGTGGATATAGGCCAGTTTAGAAAGGATATAAACTACTATTCTCTTGTTTACTCTTTTCTTTAATATTTAAGTTAATTTAGTATTCTTGAAAGGTGCTTTATATCTCTGGGGATTGATGTCCTCTTTTTATTCACAGAATAATTACACTAGCATCATGAATTACCCACATTACCCTGACAATGTATTTATAAACCTTATCTGGAGGAACCAACTCTCAGTGTGAGAGGTGAAATTAGTTTTCATGCTTGATAATTAATAATACTTAGTTTTTATATAGCTCTTATTTCTTTGCTATTTAAGTAGGAAATTTGAAACTGACATTTCAAAAGGTCAGTGAAAAACATGAAATTAAAACCTCCAATCTGGTTTTCTGCTTATTGAGCATGCACTTTGAAATGTCTTAAGAAAAGTGTATGTTTGTGTGACTTGTCTCACCAAGGTGGAGACTGGCTGGTGCCAGCTGGCTTGTTCTGGGGAAAAGCAGCAACTACCTTGGTATAGCCTTGGCTGTCACAGTCATGCGTGGCATTTAAAGTGCTACAATATCAATTTGGTGACTTGTTAATGACATCCTGGCACTGCTATAATGTGCACATAACTTCCCCCAAATAGCAGGGTCCCAGTTGGCATCTTTCCTAGTAGTTTCAACAGAAAGAATGAATAGTGAGTTGGGCGGAAAAGATGTTATCTGAACTCCAAACTCCTGGGCTGCAACATGTGTTAGGGTGATCTGATACATCTCCTGTAACATAAAATCAGTGCTTAGATAGTAAATACATGTTATGTACTTTGGCATTTATTATAGAAGACTCTTGGTTATACATTAGTCATGGTTGCAGAATAATTTAATTAGAACGCTTTCCCTTCTTCCCTCATTAATAACTTTTATAGAAATATTCACACTTTGGCTGAAATTTTCCAAGTCTTATACTTGATCAGTTCCCAAAGGAATATCCTCCCCTCCCAGGATATCTAAGCAAGATCCAGTCATTCATTTCCAAGTACAGCAAAAACAAAAAAGCAAACAACAGAATAATATTTTTCCTGTTTTAAAAAATTTGCAACCACACTTCTTTTTAAGAGGGGCTATACCAATCATGGTTGAAATACGAAACTTGACATGTATACAGATCCTCCATGAGAACCAGTTAAATGGCACTTGAATGTATTACTCTGTGTTATTAAGAGATACTATAGAATATACTGGATGTGCAATGTGAGTAAATTAATATAGTTGCAGCTATCTCTTTAAAAAAATCAGAAAGTTATAGAAGTTGATGCAATAGTAACACTAGCTTTTTTCCATGTAATCACATTTAATGGGAGAGAAGTTTATTTAATTACAATGAAGAGACACTGTGAATTTTAAATCAGTTTTTAAAAAAGTTAAAAGTCATACCACACACTACTGTGGCCCTAGGTTGCTCTGCCAATTTTTATCTTTTTATTTTTTTTTAAAAAAGGTTCTCCTGCTCATCTTGTTGCTGTGTGAAAGATCCACACAAGTAACACAAGAAGCCAACTGAATGAAACTGTAAAGAAAATACTATCAAATGCAGAAAGAAAAAAACCCAGAATATATTTAACTTCTTTGTTACTGTAATTGTAACAGTCAAATGCGCTAGAGCTTCTAAAACACCCTCCATCAATACTCTTAGCAACTATTATTACTCACTAGGGATGTGAACGACTTGTTGACTAATCGCTTCCCCCCTTGGGGGGTGGGGGGGGGGGGGGAGAGGAAGAGGTGCTTCAAAGCAGCAGCACTACATGGAGCCCGGGGTCAGCTAGGGACTCCCCTGCTAGCCCCAGGCTCCATGTAGCACTGACGCTTTTAAACGCTGCATGTAGCCTGACAGCTGACACTCAGAGTCCCCAGCTCACCCTGGGCTCCCTGCAGCGCTGCCACTTTGAAATGCTGCGGGGAGCATGGAGCCAGTGGGGTCTGCTTGAATCCCCCACTGGCCCCATGCTCCCTGCAGCGCTTTTGTCTTTGAAGACAGAGGCGCCCTTATCAACTAATCCAATAGTTGATGCAAATTGCACGGATTATTCAATTAGCCAATTGAAATTTTACACCCCTAGTACTCGCCAGGTACCAAGCTACAAAGTTGCTTTCTGAGCACTACAGCTAATAACATGGCACAATTATAATTTTAATATTACCCATGTACATAGTAAACACTGACAATATAAGGGTATTGTGCTTCTATATGTTATGTTCTATATATAGTAACAAACCAGTAAAACAGGTGAATCAAGAGTTAAAGCCCATTTATTCACCACCTGTACTAACACTGATCTATTTTGGCATTATAAAAATCTCTGCACACCAGAGTCTATTAAAAAACAGCTTAAACAAGAGCCCCATCTATTAAGATACATTTAATATTTTAAGTTTTCTATAGAAAAAAGTCCTCTTCTCCTATTTATTCTTATTACAGAAAAGAGTATCTTATTACATTTTTCCAATACTTAAAACTCATCTGTTAAATCTCCCCTTTAAATGCCTTTTAAGAGAACTTTATATAAAACTATACTGTAATTTTCCAGCATCTGAGTAAAGTTCCATTAATACTACATTACTAAAAAGAGCAAGTTTTAGCTCTGTACATCATTTTTATCAAGTAGGTAGCTGATGCTGCTTTTTGGTGCGATTCCCAGTGATTCTAGTAATAAGAGTCAGGTATATTTAGAAATCATCAAAAGGAAATGTTTTTTGGCAAACAGATTCCTTATTAGACATATTAATACAGAACTCTGAGTAATAATTCATTTAAACTACAATATAGACACACACACTTCCTGGGCCTCTCAGAAGCAGTGCAAAGGCTTGAAGGATCAGGGGTAACAGAGGAGCGGAGGGAGAAGGAAGTAATTGCTAGAAGGAATTTAGGTGTGAACTTGGAAGGTTGTTGGGTGAGGGCAGGAGAAGAATGGAACAGGTTTTTTTTGGAGCTGAGAGGGATTGTTAGGGAGCCTCCACCATGCAGACACTAGGTGACCCCAAACCTTTCATATATATACACAGTCAAACATCTGCATTGTCCCCATGCATCTCTGCATCTGGGGCACCCAGAGCCATCCCAAAAGTAGGGAGACAGGGAACCCTCCCTTTCCCCTCCAAGCCAGAGCTGGAATGGGGCCAGAGAGTACGGCACCTACCCAGGATGGACGGAAAGCAGGCCCCCTTCCCAGGGTGGCGAAGAAACCCAGGCTCCCTACAGCTGTCCAGGCAGCTCTCCCTGACCTGGCTCTGCATGACAAGAGCTGTGCAGGCAGCTGTGGGGAGACAGGGGTGAGCAGCCCCAACCCATGCCTCTGCCGAGGGCAGATGGAGGGTTTTCAGCTTAGCTCTCACCAGGACTGCAAGACCACTCCTTTGCCAAAGCTGGGTTGGAGAGAGGCATGTGGACAGATGTGGGGAGCATCCATGAAGTCACAGACTCTCCACCTGCCCTGAACTGGGACCTCAGGGTCAGGGTCATAGGCTAGAGGCTTCTCTCCCCCTGCACTAGGGAGGGTGTACAGGCATGACTTCCACAATTCCTGGGCAACTTGGCCAAGTTCTGTGCTGGCTTGGCAAGAGGATGTGATGTTGGAGGGAGAGGAGAGGAGCCAGCCCTCCTCCCTCCATCCCCATGTATCCCTGCATCTCCATGCAGACACTCCCTCCCCTTCTTCCCCATATGTTCCTGCTCCCCCACTCCCATTCAGGCCCCACAGTCTGTCCCTCCCACTAGCCCTTCTGAACTTAATTTTTTGACCCTACAGCAGCCCCACGTAAGACATGCTGTCCATTCCCCTATATCCTGTGCCTCCTGATCTGGGCCTATGGGTAGGTTACTGTGAGGAAAGCAGACTCTTTCTCTTCCCTATCCACAGCTGAAGCTGCTCCCACCTAAGATCAGCTGCTTTCTATTCTGGCAACACAATAGCCCATAGTGGATGAAAGGAATAACCATATTCCAACAACGTATTTTTGGGAGGGGGGAATTATGCATGGCACATGAGTTCTGTGCATACGCAGTGGTGCAAAATTCCCTCGGGAGTATTACTTTCATTTTCTTACATAATCTGAAACACCAAAGCTCATTGTTCATAAACAACCAACCTCATAAACTGATCAATGGCAGGATGAATCACACTTCATTTAGCTCTTTTATTTGCTCTGGTTGTATGAACAGCTCTAGTGTAAAAAATAAATTCATTGCGGAAGCCCCATAACACTTATTCTCATCATACCCAGCTATGTGCCTCAGAATCCAATGTGCTGGATGATATCAAACCACCATGCAATTTTCCTGGGTCATGTAGTCAACTCCATATATAGTAGATCTGATAAGTGGCTTTTTTAATATTATATTGCGCTTTTCCCCCTAAATGTATTTTAAAATATTACATACAGTGTTGAATATGAAAGAATTTAAAAGCTGTGCAATATAATAAAGAAAAATGCCACTTACCTAACCACTCATAATGTGGTCTAAATAGTTCAGAGAGGCCTGTGTCTCACCAGCATGCAACATGCTGGGATGTCGAAGTAGACCAATAAACCAGTCAAATGACAATGAAGAATATCATGTAACCTAAAAGAAAAAAAATAAAAGTAATAATAAGCTGGTAGGTTCTTGGGGTTGTTATAATAATTAAATTATATTTTAAAAAAACATATTTTTGGAATAAATTATTACACGTTGGCATTTATCATACATACATTACTAAAATGGGTATTTTAGCAATGCCATTTGTACTTCACCTTTAATAAGTTTTCTTTTAATAAGTTCAGTGTTATTTCTTTTTAGTGAGGCAGAAAAAAAGGTTTATTGTCTAAATCAACACCATTCCTGCAACCTTTTCTTACGTGAGCTCCATTCATGAAGTGATGTTTTTCTTATTGTGGCTATAAGTGTCCCCATGGTCAAAATAGGAAAACCAAGCAGTTTGAGGATTACAATACATTAATTTTTAATCCAGCTACATCTAAAGAGAAGATTCCATTAAAATAAGGTGCCAAAATTGTTAAACTGGGCTTTAAAAAAAAAAAAAAAAAAAAAAAAAAAAAAAAAGTAAACCTAAATGTGTTCTGACCTCATTGAGATTCGTTTACTCCTGGCAGAATTCTGTGCATCTGCAGATGTGCATAATTTACCAGACATAACTTTGCCCACCCCCATCCCGCATAAAATTCATTCTGCCAAAGAACTGCTGCAGATTTTCTGTTTGACCACCAGACACTGCTGTGGTGGCAGAACAGCCAGCTGCATTAATACAGCCTGCAGTTCTGGTGCCACAATGCCCAATGATGGGCAAGTAGAATTGTAGAACTTCTTAGGAAGAATGAATTTTCTGTCAGGGAATAAGAAGTTTGTCACAGTACCCTGCCTGCAGAGGCAGGTTAGGATAGGGCTGCTGGGAGGGGTGGACCGGTGGTCACGGAGTGAAATTTAGAATGGCTACTGAGGGAACAGATTGGGGCTAAGGCTCAAGAGCTGGTGGGGTAATGGCCTTGAGTGTGGGAATGGAGAAAAGAGGGCTTCAGAGTCCCATGGGAATGGGTGTGGGCAGGGTAAAAATATTTAAATAAACTCTCCACATTCACACCAGGCTCCTTCCCGCCCTCTCAGTTTCTCTGTTAACCCTATCTCCCAAGCCTTTGCACTGCTTCTGACGGGCACAGTAAATAGAGTTCTATATTCTAACTGACATGAACTACTCAAAGATCTGTATTAATATCCCCAGTCACGCATCAAAAAATTACCGGTATTTTTTTTCCTGCATTGTTACAAATATACTTGCTGACAGATATTTTGAAATAAATGATCAAACAATTGAAATTGACATGATTATATTGTGTTATTTTAACAAATAAAATATACATAATTTTGCAGAAATATAAAATATTGTGTGCAGAATTTTTACTTTTTGTTGCAGAATTCCCCTGGAAGTATCCCTCTGACACTATTTCAGTGTTCACAGATACCACAGTAAGAATAAAAACTGCATTTAGATAGCCACAAGTCTCTGAGGCCGGGACACTATCTAATACAAAATAATAAATACAATCTACTAATAAAAAGACAACCTCACCCAATTGCTGCAAGAGAGAGGAGTGCAGGAAGAGATAGAAAACCATGTCTTGTCACATGCCCTAGATTGCCTTTTTTTTTTAAACATAAAAATTATGTATTGGATAACAACAACAACAACAACATCACACAATACAATATTCAAATAACTTGACAAGCATATATAAAATAACATTGAACAATGTAATGGATGGCCTCATTACTGCTATGAAAACAAAGTGTGGGGAAATCTGCTTCAAGTTTACCTCCTCAAGTATAGCCACAGCATCCTTAAATTGTATACAATAATCATGTTGCACAAAGTCTCTAAAGCCCAAGATGTCATTTGAAAGATGTTGAAACCTACTACATTTTCCATCCATATTCTAATACCATAATCTGTTAGTTTCAACAAGTCAGGTCTGTCCGTACTGTTTTTATTTCAATAGTATTCATGGGAATTAGAACAAAAATTAAGCAATCGGCACTTGGAAAATAATGTCATTTGCAGGAAGAACCTGAAGGATCCATAGATATAATTGCGTAGCTAGCATCACAACAGCAATCCTGGACTCTTTTTTTTTTTTTAAATTCACATTAGCTGAAAATCTGGTTCAATTGCTACTTAAATACTAGAATTATAATATCTACATGACATGTTTCTGTTTCCATCTTACACCTCTATATAGTCTAGTTTTTAACAGATTTATCCACTCTCTAAATGATCTATGATGTGAAGTCAGTTATTTTATTATTAGTTATTTTTGCTAAAGCACAAGTCAGAGGAATAATAAAGAGAAGGCTTTAGTCTGATAAGTAATTCTACAGAAATCCTCATCAGTATTTCAGAATAAAATATTTTCCAGCATAAAGAAAATAATCACCATCTTGCTGCCATGTCCAACCAGGACGCAAATTCTTTCTACATTTTTCACTTATAATGAATAGTGAGGAAATTTATTAGCTACTATACATAATCACAAATTCCTTCAGAATAATTTGCTGCAGATCTGGGGCATAATCTTGTTCCCTCTACTGAAGTTACCCAATGAAATCAATGGGAACAAGACCAGGTCTCAAAAACTGTTTAGAAAAGCTGGACAAGCCCAGATATATGGGGCTGGATCTAATGCATTCCAGGGTGCTGAGGGAGTTGGCTGAGACTGCAGAGCCATTGGCCATTATTTTTGACAACTCGTGGCAACTGGGGGAGGTCCTGGACTTTTGGAAAAAGGCAAATGGAATGTCCATCTTTATAAAACTTAAAAAACATCTGAAGAAGTGAGTTTTGCCCACGAAAGCTCATGATGCCATCTACATGTTTTGTTAGTCTTTAAGGTGCTACTAGACTATTTGTTGTTTTTTACATTTTTTCCAGTCAGGCTAGGTCTACACTACGAGTTCTCTCAGCAAAATATATGCTAATGAGGGACTCATTTGCATGACCTGTGATCTCATTTGCATATTTTCTGCCAATCCATTTTTGTGCTGGGGTTTTTGCGCAAAAAAAAGCAATGTGGATGTTTTCTTTTTGTGCCAAAAAAAAACCTTTTTTCTACAAGATCCTTATGCCGTATGGAGATTTACCGATCTTGCGTAAAAAGGGTTTTTTGTGCAAAAAGAAAACGTCCACACTGCTGGTTTTTGCTCAAAAACGGATCGGCAGAAAATATGCAAGTGAGATTGTGACAAATGGAAATAAGTCCCTCATTTGCATATTTTCTGCCGAGAAAACTCATAGTGTAGATGTAGACCTACAGGCTAACTCGGCTACCCCTCTGAAACATCTTTATAAAATGGAAGAAAGACAACCCAGGGAACTACAGACGGGTCAGCCTTAGTCCCCAGAAAAATCATGGAGATCCTCAAGGAATCCATTTCGAAGCAGTTAAAAGAGAGGTAAGTGATCTGGAATAGTCAGCATAGAGTCACCAAGGCCAAGTCTTCCCTAACCAAGCTGATTGCCTTCTATAACGAGGTAATTGGCTCTGTGGATATGGGGAAGGAAGTAGATACAATATCTACTTTGACTTTAGCAAAGCTTTTGATATGGTTTCCCAGGGTATGTCTAGACTGCATCCCTCTGTCGGCAGAGGGATGCAGATTAGGTAGGTCAACATTGCAAATGAGGCGCCTAAGTTGCATAAAAATGGCCGCTGCATTTTGCCAACACAGCACTTTGTCGGCAAAAAGCAGCAGTCTAGAGGGGGAATCTGTCGAGAAAGAAAGCCTTTTTTGACAGATCCTGTAAACCTCCTTGCAGGAAGCATAAGGGATCTGTCGAAAAAGGCTTTCTTTCTCGACAGATCCCCCTCTAGACTGCCGCTTTTTGCCGACAAAGTGCTGAGTTGGCAACATGCAGCAGCTATTTTTATGCAAATTAGGCACGGGATATTTAAATCCCTGCCTCATTTGCAATGTCGACCTGTCTAATCTGCATCCCTCTGCCGACAGAGGGATTCAGTCTAGACATACCCTCACAGTCTTCTTGCCAGCAAGTTAATGAAGTATGGATTGAATAAATTGACTGTAAGGTGGATAGAAACCTGGCTAGATTGTTGGGTTCAATTGGTAGTTATGAACGGTATGATATCTGGTTGGCAGTCGGTACCAAGTGGAGTGCCCTAAGGGTCAGTTCTGGAGCCGGTTTTGTTCAACATTTTATGACCTGAAGGTGAGAGGATTTTTTTTCCTATGGGATGACAAAGTGATGTCACCACGTCACAGCATCCACAAACTGTGGGGGTAGGCATAGGCGGGTAAAGCCCCACCCCCCCAGCACTGCTCCTTCCACCCCAGGACCAATCCCTGGAGCCAAGCCCCATCCACTGCCATCTGGGCCCCCTCCGGCAGCCATGTGGAGAGCTCTGAAGGGCAAAAGGGAGAAAAGAGATGCAGCGGGCCCCAGCCCCAGGAGTGGCCACACCACAGCCTGGCTCCAGCTTTGAGATGTGGCAGCTGCCCAAATCTCCAGGCGAGGGAGCATAGGCTTATCAAGTAGTTGACTCGACTACTCGTGTTCCCCTCGCCGCCTCTATATCAGAGGCAGCACAAGAGGAGGAGCAAGAGCCGGTTCCCCCCAGCACTGTCTCTGTTGTGCAGGGAGTGGGGGAACAGGAGAGGCAGAGGTGCAGCCTTTTGAATGTAGTAACAGCAGCTGTAGTAAGATTAACTGATTAATTGAAATTTAACATCCCTTGTCTGGAGCTGGCCACAGGAGCAGCCCCAGCCAATGGAGCAGCCCCCTCCTCACCCAGCAAGTGGCCCCAGCCGCTGGAGCAGCCCTAGCAACCCACCACGCGGCCCCAGCCCTGTGGACAGGCTCCCTGCCCTCTGAGCAGGCCCCCGACCACTTGAGCTGGCCTCAGCTCATCCACCCTGTGGCTGGTCATAACCCCGGCCGCTGGAGTAGGCCCCAGCTCCCCTACAATGTGGCAGGTCCCAGTCCCGGCTGCTGGAGCAGGCCCAGGCCACCACACACCGTGGCCCCAGCCAGCTGCTGAAGTGGTAGCCCCCACATG